CAGTGCAATGAGTTGAAGTTTTTGTGTAATATTTTAGGAACTAATGTGCCTTTATTCTGCAGTATGATTTACTCATCAGGTTAGGGACTCCTTTCTCTAGGGAGTGAAGCACAAGAAGAACACAGCCGGTATGATTAATTATTGCCGGCTCAGCTACACTATTGCTGCACATAACTGATTTAACCCAAGAAGCTGAACTTGCAAGAAGATAAAACACTCTTTAGGGACAAATCCACAAACCAGATATTCTGCTATGGAATTACTCGTGATTCTAACTATCCATACTACTGTAATGTGTGTATGCTTTGGGACAATATAACTAATTATTGTACTAGATATGGGGATTATATCTATGGTGAGAAAATGTTTTAAATATTATATATTTTTTTTCTTCTAGGAATGTTTTGTATTTGGCTTTAGTTACGGATGCTCTTTTGTTTGTGCCTTCAGATTTGGTTTTCAGAGTTGGTGGTTTCCACAAATAAAATCTTCAGGTTTAGGATGGAGGTATATAAGATTTTTTTTTGGAGGAATTGTATACTTAATGAATGGGATTGCAAAGCTCCCCTAAGCAAGTCCCCTTCATCTGAAGGTTTGCGACATGGTTACCTGCAATACTTGATAGATTAGAAATCAATAAAAAAAAATGAATAAAATATATATATATATATATATATATATATATATATATATATATGTATATGCTAAGGGTCCTGCTCATAAAAAATGACAAGAGGTAAGGGTAAGAAGTATATTTAACTGTTCTAGGTTGCTAGAAAAGTTTGCAATGAAAGTTTAGTTTATTAGATAGCACAGTTATGGAATAATGACGTGAGGGATGTGAAAGCTGTTAAAGGACCACTATAGGCACCCAGACCACTTCAGCTTAATGAAGTGGTCTGGGTGCCAGGTCCATCTAGGTTTAAGAGAAACTGCTATGTTTACATGTGGGTTAATCCAGCCTCTAGCAGCTGTCTCATTGACAGCCGCTAGAGGCGCTTCCGCGCTTTTCAATGTGATTTTCACAGTGAGAAGACGCCAGCGTCCATAGGAAAGCATTGAGAATGCTTTCCTATGAGACTGGCTGAATGCGCATGCGGCTCTTGCCGCGCGTGTGCATTCAGCTGATGGCGGGAAAGGAGATGGAGAGTCCCCACCGGTATGTGTTTTAACCCCTTCCTTCCTCACCCTAGAGCCTGGCGGGAGGGGGACCCTAAGGGTGGGGGGGACCTAGAGACCCTATAGTGCCAGGAAAACGAGTATGGTTTTCTGGCACTATAGTGGTCCTTTTAAAGTGTAATTGTAATTCAGTGTAATTGATATGCTGAAGAAGTGAGTTGTCAGTGATATTTTGAAGGAATGGAGACTGGGTAAGAGTATGGTGGAGCAGGTGGCATTGTAGCGATATAATCAATGTTATTCACTTTGCCTGTCAGTGGCTTTAATGTTGTGTGTGTGTGTATGTATATATATATATTCAGTAATGCCCGTTGCTGGTCTGGCAAATTATGTGAATCAGCAGAAAAATGCCGCACTCCATAGACTTTGTAGAGTTGAAATAAGACTTAACTTTTATTTAATCCATAAAATGATGTCAACGTTTCAGCTCTCACATGGAGCTTTCATCAGGACAGACAATAAATAAACAATGTGTAAACATGAGAATATATAGCCCCAGTCACATACTAATTACACCTAAATTGTGTGCTCACCCTGTCATATGATTATCTTTAGAGATCCGCCAAGAGGGGGGCTCTCAGTCACTTCTTATCTAGCTGGATGATTGTATTCAGTACTACGACATTCTGTCGAAACAGTAATCTCCCCGGCACATGTTGCAAGGATACAACCTGGAACGCAAACACCTCCCCCTTTCTTGGCATGACACATGAGGACACCACACTACAACATTTGAGCAGTCTGTTTAGCTGCTATAGGGGCAATAATATGACAGGATGAGTACACAATTTAGGCGTAAATAGTATGTGGTTGGGGCTATATATTCTTATGTTTGCACATTGTTTATTTATTGTCTTTCCTGATGAAAGCTCCATGTGGGAGGTGAAATGTTGACATTATTTTATGGATTAAATAAAAGTTAAGTCTTATTTCAACTCTACAAAGTCCTTGGATTGCTTTTTTTTTTCTCCTGCTGATTATACCATTTGGATTTTGCTTCCCAAGCACTACCAAGCCTCAATAAGCAAACCTCAATAAGCATTAACAATGAAACAGCTGTCCATGAGTGGTTCACTGGCTTTGCATCTTTTCCTTAGTTGTGTTTCAAAGCTGTTGTATAAAGCAAACACAGACTCAAAGAAATCCATGTTTAAAATGGAATGAAGCGGGGGGGGCGGGGCCTGACCGCTGAACTAAGAGGACGCTTGCCTCAACAGCTCCTGCGGTTTGGGACAAAAAAAGCGGATTTTAGACATCACAGAGACACTGCAATGGCACACGAAGGCCACCAAGTGACAGGAGATACTGGGGTGCACACACAGACACCACCCAAGTGACATTGTCAAAAAGGCGCACCCGAAACTACAGCGAGGCCTACCAGCATGACGAGCGCGGGGAAGATGACCGCCTTCCTGCTGCCTCAACCAGCCAGGTACACCACACTGGGCCCTCGTTCCCCCCGACTGGACCGGCGGGGGTTATCCCGGTCTACCCCTATGCAACACGGCCTTGACTTCTTCTTGTGGATCCTGGTAAGGCATCTAGATGTGCTGAGGCCTCCCACACCGCAGCCCTGTGGAGTGCCTGGAAAGAAACAGAGCCCTGCAATTTTCAACTCCTTTTGGGAGAAGCTGGAGGTCCATATGCGACATTCCGAACCGGAGACCCAGCCGGGGGGCACGCCACTGAGCCCAGCACAAGTGGTCACACGGCGGGACGCAGCAACTCCCAAAGGCCCCACACACATGAAAGGCCGGCACCTTAGAGGTGACACCTCGAGATAAGACTCCTGGAGCCTAGTTGACAGCAGAGGCTGCCTGAACTCGTCTCTCAGTGCAACGGGACTGACCAAAACAAAGCACCCAAGATTACCTTACCGGCTAGCAGTGACCCCGTGAGTGCACAGCGCCACTGAAACGCGGAGAAATTGGCGGGCCGCGAGGCCTAAAATGGCAGCGACACCAGGTCAGATCAGCAGCAGCCCGAAACCAAGACCTCGGGCACTTCCAGACCTGACACTCACAACGAGGACTCTGCAAAACCCACCAAACATGTCTCCTTTCCACACTGGGACTATCGGAGACAGAACCCTATCGAGGCGACTCACCAGCCCACACTACCAGTGCACCTGCCAGGCCTCCAGGGCCGGTGTCGGCTGAACGATAAGGACTGAGTCGGGGGCTAGTTCTGATCCAGACCACCCACAGAAGAGGAGTCCGCACAGCCAACAATAAGTTTGATAAACCTATATGCTTCTGTACCTCTCAGCTCATTCTCCTCGTTAGCATTAGAGATGCTCCTAAGGGCAGTAATTTCTCTATCTGATTTACAGCGACCATCACTTCTTGGTGCTTAAACCAGGTAGCCAAGCACGTTAATCCGACTTGTATAAAGGATCCTTCTGTTCACACTGGCATAATGCACGTTTTAGCACGATAACATCTCAGTTACTAACCAGCCTAGATACCTTATCAGTAAATGCTTTAATTTAACCCTCCCTAGTCAGTTAAACAGCCTGAGTATGTCATACTTTTGTTTAATAATTAGCAAATATGGGCAAAGTGACTCTAATGCCATGACATGTGCACAGTCGTTATTCGGCATGTGCTAAAACCTTAATAAAATAACTCTGTGACACCATTTCTGTTGGAGTATAAAGTCCACAGCTTTATTAAAAATTTTAATTCAACAATTTAACAATTTAGGGTCATTGTCACAAGTATTAATTATGTCCGACCTTCTTGCCCAATACCCCCGACAATGACCCTACCAAATAACATAATAAAACATTCCAATAATACATAACGTTTAACCCATGGCCTACCAAAGAGGCCCCATAACCATATGTTTAACTGCAGACACCCCTACACCCCCAGATTCGTAGCCACCAACGAGCTAGAACCTACAAACCATTTTCCACTCCGGCATAGTCCAGCCTAGACCTTGGCCTGCCCACTTCCATTCCACCTAAATCCTCTTTAACCCAGGCCCTATTCCCGCCGCTGTGACCAAACGGGAAACTACCTACCAAACAAGACAACCGAACACAAAGGGAGGGTGGGAGGGACAAGTATCAAGTAAGTGTGATTTTGATTAAAAAGGCCAGTTCACCAAATTGGCTGTTATTTAAACCCTTATTCTCCTCCCCCCCCTGTCCAGACATTACTTTTCCACACCGCTTGACCTTAACTTCACCTGCCAACTCTCTGGCCCTGTCAAGGCCCACTCCCCTCCTGTGTTGCTCCATGGGCTTCAAGACTGTAACTTTCTGCTTCAATCGGTGACATGCAGGTTTTTGCGAGATTACATTGCAGTTAACAACCAGATTGGATGCCTTACCAACAAAAGCTTGAATTTAACCCTACCAAACCAGTTACCTAGGTTGAGCGTATCACGCTTTTATTTTGTTTTATATAAATTTAAAAATATGTGCAGCTGATACTAATACCATGCTTGTTTCCTTCTGTTAAACTCTACTGTTCTTGCACTAGCTGTCGTGGCAGCGCAAGCACTTGTGTTACCTTGTGCACATCAAAAAATAAAGAATAATTTTATTTTTTTAAATGGAATGTGACAAAAATGTGATTCTTTGTTAAATAATTACCATATGCCCAACCACAATCCTTTGCGGTAGTAACATCACTTGTGATTTCTGTGGGAAAAGCAAGTCTTATGGCTTGACTGGTGTGCAGATTTTTGTTTAACATTGTATTAACTATCCACAGACTTCAGGTGGAAGGGGTTTTCAATCACAAATTTTCCCGACCATAATCTATTTGGATTTTGCTTCTCAAGCACTACCAAGCCTCAAAAAGCAAACCGATAGCCAACCTCATGCTGATGAGTTGCATTAACAACGAAACAGCTGTCCATGAGTGGTCTACTGGCTTTGCATCTTTTCCTAAGTTGTGTTTCAAAGCTGTTGTATACAGCAAACAGATCCAAAGGAATCCATGTTTAAAATGGAATGAGGCAAAAATGTGATTCTTTGTTAAACTACTTTGCATATACCCACCCAGAATCCTTTGCGGTAGTAACATCACTGCAGATTTGTGATTTCTGTGGGAAAAGCAAGTCTTATGGCTAGACTGGTGTGCAGATTTTTGTTTAACATTATATATATATATATGTGTATATATATATATATATATATATATATATATATATATATATATATATATATATATATATATATATATATATATATATATGTATATATACACACACATTCATACACACATATAATATATAATTTGTTTATTTCTGAGTGAAATTAATATTCTTTGATCAATGTCTGGTACTTCTCCAGACTCAATTTCTTGAATGTTGAAATAGTGTGAAAATGGAAGCTTTTTTCAATTCATTCAAGCTACTGATATCCTCTGTAAAAAAATAAAGTTGCATTATTGGCAAGAGTTGAATGACCCCAGAGGTTGGTATGGAACATCAAGATTTACAGATTCTATATGCTTTACTGTAATAATGTCCAAGTTCCTTTTCATTGGTGAGAATTCCAATAAATCTTTAAAATATGACCTCGTAACAGTAGCATGAAATATGTTTGGTTCAATATTTGAAGTGTCAAATTGAAAAATGATTACTTTTAGAAAAATCAGTGAGATTTGAAATTGCAGTCCACGAGTTCTTAAATTACAGTCTTTATAAAAGAAATTATAAATCTTTTTTTTTTCTTTTTTTAATTGCAGTCTTATTTCAGACTTAACAACAATAGACATAGCGATGTTACTTTGAAAGAATCTTTCAAACCTAATTTTCTAAAAATTGAAAAAAAGTTATGTCCCTAATGAACTGTGTGCATTATTATCCCGTGACCTGTTGGCTGTTTGTGTTCCCATTAAATGAATAACCCTTAAGCTCTCACTGCTTATAATAAAAAAATGAAATGTATTCTGAATGTAACAAGGGAGAGGCAGAATATAAAAGATGATACTCTACGTGAAACCTAGCAACACACATCTACGGGGACATGGTTTGAATGATGTCAGCCTTTGAGAGCTCCCTGACCCCGTACTCCAATGTGTTGTTTTAAATTTGCTTGTTGTAGAATAATCCCTATGGAAATTAATGAAGGATGAGACGGTGTCTGTTAAACTGATTGTGTTTTTTTAAACAACACAGACAATAACCCTTAAAATGTGGTTTTCTATCTTAACAAAACCTTTTTTCATATGTTTTATCTATTTTTATCTATAGTTTAGGTTATATCTGTTTAGGTATTTTATGAACGTTATGGTTTTGTGATTAAATATGGAATTTTAAGGTGATTTCATCTTTTAAGTTAATTGGGGCAGGTACTTCATAAAAAAACTACAGGGTTATTCACTCAAGTGAGAATTCAAAGTGAATTTAAATTTTTAGGTTAAGGTAGCTGAACAGGAAGCACAGCTGAAAAAGATAATTTTTCAGATTTGACTACTTGAGTTTAAACTAAAATTTGAAATTCACTTTAGATTCTTACTTTACTGAAGAACTTTGTTATTGATGATCGTATCACTGAAGACTAATTACCTTGCAGCAGTAGCGGTTCTGGCTAAATGTTTATTAACTAGTGTCGTTACACTGTATCCATTGATGCAGTAAAGACAGACGCTACTCACTCACAAAGAAACTACACATGATTCCTACCCCTCCCCCCCCCGCCGAAAAAACCCCCCACCAATCACACACAGTAACCTATACATTTGAAAAGGAAATTTACTTTGCCACTAATTTATCAGGCAGGCATGCAAACCTGCCAACCAAGGCTGTCCATAAACAAAAAGGCGCCAAAACAACTGTAGCTTTATGACGCAGTTTTGGTGTACAGCTCATGCCCTTGCAGATTTAGGAGTTAAATCACTTTGTTTATGCAGCCCTCGTCACTCCTCTCTGCATGTGACTTACACAGCCTTCCTGAATACTTCCTATAATGAGTCATCTAATGTTTTCATTTCCTTTATTGTGCATTCTGTTTAACTTTACATTTCTTATCTCCTGCTCTGTTAACAGCCTTTTAGACCCTACATGAACTTCCTGTATGTGATTAAAGTTCAATGTACAGAGCAGGGAATAAAAATTTCAAAAGCAAGTTAACTTCTGATTGAAAGTAAAACAATGTTTTCATGTAGGCTGTGTGAGTCACAGCCAGAGGAGGTGTGGCTTGGGCTGCCTCAACAGAAGCATAAGTGATTTAATTCCTAAATGTCAGATAATTGAACATGCAGGGGCATGAGCTATATACCACAACTGCTTCATTAAGCTAAAGTTGTTTTGGTGACTATAGTGTCACTTTAAGCATATCCTCACTCTGCACTTTTTTGGAGTCTAAACTAGTTTTCCAACAAACAGAGGGGTCTCAAACTGGATCTATCCCGATGAACATGGGCATTTGGAAAATATGTTGTTATAAAATCTCCCATAATGGTTTAACAAACAGCCTCTGAATATTGTCCCCCAAAAGTTAATAGGTTACTTATTATGGCTGGCATTAAGAGATAGAGATTTTCATTATAGCAGGAAAGATTGTTGACAATTTATGGGCTCTGACAAATGTAACATCAACAAATGTAAATCCCAACATATTAATTACATTTCAATGTAAACTAAATGTGTTTGAGTAGGGGTCCTAATCGTTAGCGCTACTTGGGGTCTCTTTAACAGCATCATAATATTATATCACGAAATGATAGTATTGTGCTAGAATAAGAGTAAAAATAACAGCATTTAGTGCATTTAGCACAAAGCAGAAGGTCGGTATGGAGACAACAGCTTGCTGGGTAATCTAAGGTTTTATATGTATGGAATATAGATTGAATAATAGCTGATGATATTCACACACACACAGAGCCTTCGGGGACCCTGTAGTTCTTTGTTTTAAGCGGTAATATAAACACTTATGAACATCAGATGGCAAATAAGCAGACTTTTAAAAAATATATATATAAGTTTAATAATACACACTATAAAATGCAAAGTAAAAAACCAATACAATACAATTATATTCAATTAGCTATACCATATAGGAGTTCAAATCAACAAGTCAATTAGTTTACTTAACAAGCCTAAGAGTCAACATTACACTTCTTCTCATCTACAAGCTTATCATCATAGGACAATAAAACATATACAAACTTCACAGCAGAACTCAGCATAAGTAATTAACAATATGGCACCCCTTGCATTAATGATACAATTGTTGGTTTATTAATTAGTTTAAATATGAACCAAACCCGCCAAGTATATACCATCAGTTTAACTGGCATAACCTGGAATATATAAAGTTTCTGATAGCCTTAGTATATATATTGAACTAATATACATCTAAAGAAGGAATCAAAAATGTTCCAAATTAATAGATTATATCTGACTCAGACTGCAGATAGAATGAGATATAACTGTTCTATCAATAGGATGGGATCAGTTCACAATATAGACACACAGGGCATTTATTAGTCAAGTTTATTTAAAAACAAAAAAAAAGGGGAACCTTTATACATTACCAAGAGTTTATGATGAATGTCTCTGTGATAAAAGAAAAGTACAAAGGCTATTTTTTAAGCAAGATTGACACGGAGTCAGCATGATAGCGCTCTGTTCCAGGATAGAGCTAATGGAGCAATGCGAATATATATTTAGATTATTATGTATTCAAGAAGGGCTCTGCACTTGAAGTCTCGATATGGCCACGGTGCAACTTCTGCTATATACACAAAAGCAAAACATAGAAGTGCACTCACTGGACTTATTTTCAGTGGGTTGTAAAGCTGTCTTTATTTAACCAGAGCAGTAATCAACATAGTGGTCGAAATGTTTCAATCCAGTATCTGGACTTTTATCAAGACAACTGCACAACCAAACAAACCGCCTTAAATAGACGAGAAAGATGGGTGGTTTGATGAAAGAGAGGCTTGAAGAAGAAACTCGAAGGCCAAATCCTGGAATCACCTTGTGGTTTGTAGCCGACCCATATCTTCTAAGTGATGATCTAGCCAGTGCATGTAAATTCTTAATGGTAAGACACAAAACCCAGCAAGGTTTTTACAGAAAAAGTAAAAATATTTGTAAACATGGAAAACTAAATAAAAAGCAACAAACGTGTCCATACCAGGATAATTGGATATGCAACATTTATCCACGGTGTCTTAGCAAAATCTGAAAAAGCCTAATCTGCAACATTTATTACCTGGCTTGTAACATTATTATTTAAAAGAGAAGCAGTGGTTAGTAACTCAATGGCCCCTATTTATGTAACATTATGTGTATCACTGTAAGATTATGTTTATTTGAAGCATATGAAAACACAAAACATATACGGAAAAGTTGCAAAATTCTATAATAAACCTACAATATATGTTTACCTACTGCATATATTTATTAAATGGGCCCATATAAGGTCCACAGCCATTAAGAAATTATCTTTCGGGAATAAAGGGGTTATTCTCATTGACAACCCCCGGGACCACTGTATCCATGAGGTGGATCCATTATGCCTCCTTGCACAATAATACAGTGCTTCTATCACCCCCTCTGAGATGAGTTGGTATGTGATCAATACCTATGGATTTCAATGAGGCAAGCGGATGGCCCATCGTCAAAGTGTCTTGGCATGGGAGGTGTTTTAGAATCCAATTGGAGAACCTGTGGTTTACATAACCTTACACATAAGTAATTCTTAGTTTTGCCTATATAGGCTAGTCCACATTGGCATGTGATCTTATAGATCACACAGTATGTCGTGTTTCTAGCCTATGGAACCTAAAACATCTCCCATGGCAAGACACTTTTTGACGGTAGGTCATACGCTTGCCTCCTTCAAATTCATAGCGATTCTTATGCCAGAATAACAGGAGTAGTGCAGTATGCAGTAATACATTTTTTATTGGCTTAACAATACATATT